GACAATGCGTGGCGCTCGTGCTCTGCGCCAATCGAGCTGTGAGTTTATAACCGGTAGACCTGTTGTCTCCCAAGGGTAGGTTTTACGGGAAGAGGGACATCGACCACTTCCTAACCTCCGAAGAGGATAGACTAGGATACTGGCAGGGCGCCCACACCTGACAGGAGAACGACTCGGGTCCTCAGCCAAAGCCTTCGATTAAATGTACACCCGAGAGGCAGCGGGTCTAGCACATGGTCAGTTCACTGACTCATGCGGATTGGTGTCCTGAATCTTAGCAGAGAAAAGGGCGTACCCCAACTCCCAGCCAGCGGTCGCCACGAGGAGACGTCCAGGACATGAGCCGATGGCACAACAGTAGCAGCAGTAGGTAGACTATCTGTCAGGATATAGCCACCGCCAGCCTCAGCGCACCATGGGCTCTCCCGCCGACTGTTGAGATTGCATACATGGTTGGCGGCATCCGGTTTCGGATTTGGCTGTCACTGTGGCCAGTCACAGGAAGCCTGCGCCTACAGAGGGACCATGGGTGGCTTGCGCTGCACCACACAGCTCCATTCACACACCCGATATCTAGTGTAAACCCGAAGAAATAAGACCGGGAGGCATGCGGATGGGAGCCACGTTTCATCAACGGAGCCGGCCCACACTCCTTCACAGGCAAACACAAGCACGCTGTATTTGGGGAATCAACCGCAAACAAGGCGGTGGCTAGACCGTAGTCCGCTCCACACTGAGTGCACGGAACCACTTTTCGAGCCTAGCACGGCCACAAGGACCGTGCACCCCGTCTTCTCCAGCAACGACCAACTGTCTCCTGGAGCCAGATGGTCGAGGTAGTGGGTAATGGACGGGTAGGCACCTTGTCAACATGCACATCAAGCGCAGCCACATCGGATGTCAAACAACAGCCAATCATTCGAAATGCCGATATCGAATAAACGCATATGAAGACATAAATACTCGCTAAATGAGCATATGAAAGAAATTGGTTAAATGTGAATACGCGATAAGTACAAATTGTCCGAAAGTCGTTTAAAAAATACCACGGGATAAAATCACGCAAGTTTACCACAATTTGCATGAGCGACGTGTGTCTGACTGTTACCATTCTCTGGTTAAGACCGCTGGATTACGGGGGACAGTGACGACCGGCGTGACTATGTTTCTATATGTGATGTGGCGACACTCACTGCCCACTTACGTGCACTTTTCTGCCGTGCAAAGGACAGGGTAGTCGCCACCGTGTTTCGTCGCGTACTGCTGACGAGTCCCGAAACGATGAATCGGCCGGACGTGTGATGGCGGGTTGTCTGAATCTAGATGTGATGAATATCTGGTTACACCTTTCGAATTCCCTTACTAGTCTTGGTATCTCAGCTGTGGCCGGGAGCGTTTGTGGATGACAAGAACCTATGTGCTGAAGAGGGGCAACAGTGCTGTTTCGCAATATTGGTTTGTAAAAACTTCCCAAGGAAACGATAGCCAAAAAGGATGCACAGGTGCTCCGATTTCAGTTGCTTCAGTTAGACCATTAGGCGGAACATTTTGAAGAGAAGTTCACTTGTGAAATTATTGTTTGAAGAGCCGCTTGAACGCATATGGCGTTGATGTCGCATCATCATCATTTTGCATGTTAGCTGTGGGTGGGAAATCGCTTACACATTTTGGAAGAGATCCGACATGACGAATCTCTTCTCTGTTGGGTTATGAAGAGGAACCTCTATACCGTCGCTTGTCAACCATCAAGTTCGTCCTCAACATGTGTCACCTAACGTTGTGCGAAATTCGTCGTAGCATTAATCTTCTTACCATTGTTTCCTACTTTCTTCTGGGTACTTTGCTGAGGCAACTCGCGCGGGTTCACGTGAGATCTGCATCATTGGGAGCTAAACTGGCTTTCACCCCAGAAGCAGCAAATGCATTTACCGCATACTTCAAGTGCTGGAGCAGTGAGACAAGTCTGAGATAGCCCGCTATGGTGGTCGCCTTTGACCCGAAGCGTTTGTTCAATCACTCCTTCACAGTCGTATCTCATCCAAAATGAGGAATGGATTAATATTATTATTGTCGTTGTTATTATCACTACTGGTTTCAGTTGCGCGCACGAGATTTCGGTACAACTTGCCCTTAACGATTACCTTTTTCTGTTCTGCCATATCTTTATTGCGACCCCTGAGGGAGACTGCTTTCTAAGCTCTTTACAAAAGCTGAGGGACGCTTCAAAGTTGTGATCTTTCCAAGGTAGCTCACCAAACATCAGGTCTTACGATTGGTCTTTCTCTGTATAAACAACAGAAACAACAAAATGTACGTGTCTATCTGTTCACCTTCTCAGAACCATACCTTCCTCTACTTTCCATGTTTCTGAAGAGAGCCAGTGTCAAATAGCTCGGGTTACATAGCATGTGGAGAATATTCCCTAAACCAAGATGATATTTTTAAAAAATTTTCTCACTCCATACCCGAATTCTGTAATCTCATTTAAGCCAACATGAGAGAAAAATTGTAGAAAACACAGAGATCGTTTACAAAACATCTATCTAAAGCAATGGAGTGCGTTACGGATCTCCTTTGATTGCTGTTCTTGAACCATACCTTTACGCTCCAGTACAATCTGCTACACCGTAACATTGTCCCTTTTGCTCATACTGGAATTACAGCATTATTCTACTCAGGAATTTCAGCTCTACGATACTACATTAGTCGCACCAAAGACCAGGACAACTGCTCTCTGTATTCGCTTCTTCCTAGTCGGATATACCATCCTGCGGAACAGGCTATCAACCGCAATCAAGTCGTGTGAGGTGGCAACAACATTCCGTAGTCAACTTGAGAGTTACCTTGACCTGAGCACGTTTATGTGCATGGTCTCGCGGAGCTAATCGACTGAAAAGCTGTTCCAAGTGGGGCGAAAGGGTGTCCAACTGGTGGAGTTAAAAACATTCACACATACTGTCCGCTACTGACGGAAGCTCTCTTGAAAAGTCTGCTCTCTTCACCGAATCTCACAGAAAACCAATTTTAATACGAACGAATAAGTAAGGAATTGGCTTGCTCATGCTGAAGCTTTCCATCAGTGAGCCAAAGGCTGATTAACGAATCTTCAGCTGTCTCCAAAGGTTATGGTGCTCTTGCTAATACGTGTTCTTTATTTCTATGAACTCCGGTATTACGGTTGCGTATCAACTCTAATCTCGTGCAGGTGTGTTGAACACGCGGAACAGGCATTGAGCACTTGTATTTCCATCATCAAGACTCGTGACTTTTCATTGTGCGAGTTTCCAGTGTATCCCATGTGAGTTCAGTAACATAAGTAGGCGAAAATACATGCTTGCACACGTACTTGTACGGCATGACCAGTTTTGGACACAGCGTTGCATATTTGCGGACTGTGCCCATTGTGCTTGTCATTGTTATCATTAATGCCTCTTTCCTCCCAGATTTCTCTTGGAGGGAAAGTTCTATCGCGTTACCAACTGACAAATCTGAAGTGCACGGATTGCATGACTCCATTTGGGTCCGACTCAAGTGCTATCCGAGCACTTATCAACGGGCCGACGCTTAGCGCTACACGCTTCGGCATTTGCTTTGCACCTTGATTGGACTGGGTCATAACATCTTAACTCCTTATTTTCACAGGGCAACCGCTTATGTGACGTTCCAAGATCTGTCACTTACGAATACTACGGAGTATAAGCTTATTGGTTCGGTGGAGAGTGCATCGCTTCAGAGCAGTCAGTGTTGCCGCATGCATTAGAGACATTGTCATTACCATTGTCCGTTTTTGACAAGAGATGCCCACTTTAGATGGGGCACCATAAAGTGCTATTGGTAAATTCGATTCACCCACAATCGCTAGCTCATCTGCTCCCACACAATCTGCTTGGAGGTGATTCTATCGACAAATTTGGACCTAGTCAAGTGCTCATAAGCTCATCCCTTAGAGATTCCCACATTTACTTTGGTTGGGACTCTTCGGCAACGCACGCTGTCTTTTTGGGCGCAACCACCTACCCAACAGGTCTAACTCGTACGAATGGTTTTGCCACCTATGGGACTTCGGAAACGAGTTGGATCACTGACTAAACTGGCACGTCTTTACATACGTCTTAGGATTGTAGTCTTGCTCATGTGTTGCACGTGCTGTCGAGTGATATCTTCGTTTCATTTATCCCATTTAATCTCCCGGTATGCTTCATAGACCTGGCCCATGGCCTTAACGATCACAAGCCTGTCTTGCAATCCTGAGCTCTCTGGTTTGAGTCTGCATAGACGACCGGGCGACCCTCGCAGTATCCTTAGCCCGTATGCGACTGGTGGTGGTTGTGTAACAGCGAAGCGTCGGTACTGCGTACCGACTGCTGATACCATTCTTCTAAAGACATATTCGATTACTGACTACAGGGGACTGCTAATAAATAAATAAATTTGTATATTTACCGACGAACGGTACATGGCCCCATAATTGTGGAAAAAAATTTAGCGGTGAACTTGGGCTCTAAGAACGTTCCCATCATGGGATGAGCTGAGACCCAGTCACGGCTCTTTGCACTTGATACACATCTATCCCTGCAAGTCCGCATCATTGACCTACTTGCTGAATGTGTGCGAACCAATTCCACGTCAATCACGTCTCCTAGTCTCTCTTTTCGGTTTTGCCCTCGAAATGATGCATGCGCATGTGTGTGCGAGAACTTGAATATGGGGTAGCCCATACAATCCGTCGTCCCTCTGCTGGCGCGGACGTTCCGGGACTGCTCCAAGTGCCATTCACTGCCATCTTTGGAATTTAATACCGTCAACCAAGTGTATTCTTTCACTTTACTATGTGCGCATCCGTAGAATTTACCGGTTATTTTTGTGCCTCATGCACAAACGTTTGAGCAGTCATCTGGCGCGTCAAGTTATCAACCTACTGTGTTTATCGCGTACATTTAGAAATTTTTCAAACCTTCGTCTTTGCTTTACAGTCTTTTTTTGCATTGCTCAACTGTCAGGTGCTGCGACTAGAAAACCACAAGTTACGCGAGGCACAGGACACTGCGATTGGAGAATTGCGAATGAAGCATAATACCGAGTAAGTGATGTGTAGCCCACTTTCCTCCCTTCTGCTCATTTGCCCATTGTCTATTCTCACCTGTTAACCATCGAATGCGGTTAAGTAAAATGAGCGCCTTTCTACCTAACGTCTAATCCATTGCTTGTGTCGGTTACCATAACTACCCAAAGCCTACTGTCAAAATGCTATCAAGTGTGTGACCGGTTCGTGCCCTGGTAGTTCAGGCTTTGGCTCGTACTCCAAACACCACTGATTCGAGTCCAAGTAAGTTTGCGTGACCACGGGTTGCTGGTGATGGCAGCGATGCGCGGGATACCGACACACTGCTAGTGCCATTCTTCTTCTTATTCACAACCCCAGATTCAGTCTCTATTTCATCGGAGAGACTGCATGCACCACTGCTTCCCCGGGCGCTTGATAATCGTCCTACTGTATGCGATGGGAGTGAACCCCGTTCACTTTAGCTGCAATTCCTTGTCGACTTCAAAACCCGACTTGTTTTCATCTGATCTCCCTCTAATAGCTGCTTTCACACGGTTCAGACTGATTAGCGGCCATAAGTTTAAATACTCATTGTCACTAGCAGATCCCTGTTACCCCAGGCAATTCCTTTCCCGCTTTCCTTGTCAGGGTAACCGAGGCCTCTGCAAGAATCGCTGCCTTTGAGACGCAGCTGAAACGGGAATGTCAAGAATATGAAGCTAAGAAGCAGGTTAGTAATGCTCTGCGTCCCATTCACGAACTGCTAATGCTCGAATGGCATTTCCCTCTTATTTGCTGTCTGTTCCCACCCTGTGACCTGTTGTTCTAAGCCGCATGGCCACCGTAACCCACCGCTTACTTATCTCCCGGCTCATCACGGCTGCGTCCCTCCTCCTTCTCTCTTATCTCCCCATTTCATTTGCTGATTTTCAGACATTGGGGTTGGTGCGTTGCTCCGTTGACACACACGTCCACCGCATTCCCCGTCCCGACTACGGCCTCATGCCCTTGTTAACCAGTCGATCTGACTTGATACATGGTGTCCTCATGCGCACCATGTTTCTGACTGTTGTAGACTAGCTTCCTTTTCAATGCACTTTGCTTGTAAGTGCAGTTACTATTAACACTGCAGAAGTGTGTCAGCCAGCCTCTGCGACACAAAATGCAGCCCCGGCAGTGATCAAGAATCTGTCGGTCATGAACACGGAGGGCATGTTTGCCGCATACAAACGCGATTCGCCGTCCCACTGTCGCTCATTTTACCGACTCTCTGTTGTCCGCCCTCACTCGCTACTACTCCGTCCAGTCCACATCTACCTCACTTGGGGCCGACCACTCATACTTTGACACACCAATTCCCAAGTGTCCATCCGACCCGTACCACTGTGCTCAGCTTGCGCGCGGAGTTTGCCTGGCTGGCTACATCTTCGTTTCGTTCTCTCATTAACTCAGCGACCTCTGCACCTTGGCCGTTTAATCAAGTTCGGTGGCACGTGCGCCCTGTTATCTCGCCCCGGTCGGTTCCGATCGACCAACTGCCATCACGGAGCTTGTATCGGTTATGCACGGGAAGCAGCAATTTTGCGACGGATATGGCAGTACAAATGGAGTCCGTACACAACTCGAAGGTCACCGAAACATGACATCGACGTATACTACCAATCCGATCGTTCCAACTCTCATGGCTGCGAGCTTCCTCTGTCCCTCATGATTTGATAATTTGTTTTCTCTCTCTGTGTTCCTTCATTCTGGATGTACTGCTCTCCAGTGATTTTTCTGCTCTACTGAGTCAGGTGTTGCGAAACTGACTTTTGTTTATGTACTTGTGTCCATTGATGTTAGTACTTGCAAAAGGCTAGCGTCAACGATACTGACAACTCATTCTCTTCACAGTGCATTTTCGGGATGTGTGCTTACCTCATCGACCAGATGGATGTACGAGCCCATCTGTTTCCGGACACGAGTTCACCGTTCGTCACTTTTTGATTATATTGCGCGACTTTTGCTAGACTTTGAGAATGTTGTTTGAAAACTAATTAGCCGATTTACGTTGAGTCTATTGTGTTTGTCATTTGAGTACCCGGCCAAACACTGAATTTTTTGCTGGATCTTCTAATGATGACGTAACAACTTTCACCATCGACGAGATCCTGACTGAATTCTGATGGTGCCGACCAGGGCATCTGGCCCTAACGCCGGCTGTGGTTACTATGCGACGGTGGCCACTCATTAGTGATTGCCTCAGATAGTGGTACAAGTCGTGTAAACCGCCCCTTGCACTTTTAAAACGGCAAAGGAACCTCCTTTGGAAACCATCGTATGATAAATCTCATCTCCAACTTCGTCACGAATACCATACTGCGTCGGTGTCTAGATTTCGTATCGGCCAAACTACCTATGTGGTGTGCTCCACACGTTTACTGTCCGGAGGCCTAAATGTGGATTTTTTACCATTGTCTCTACTATGTTAAACTTCCATGTTATCCAGCCGATGAGATGATGAAAAAGCCCGTTGCTCACCGAGTGATTTTACGTTGGATTGCTGCTTGTCCTCCGTAGAGAGACGCGAACTTTTGATCAGTTACATCACATGTTGGACATCTTACTTGGCGGGACCGTGGCATCAGTGACCCTTTTGCACGCGTTCCCGCGTTTTTGACTGCTACTTATTCCATCTGACGGTCCTATTTATCGTGATTGCGTTACGATGATGCGTCGTTGCACACTTTTGCCCATGTGAGCCAAGCCAACCGTGTCCAGTGTACGGATCACGTTTGACCATTTGTACTGTCGGAATCTACCTTGGTCCAGACATATTTGTAATATTGTTCTCTTCCACGTCGGTTTTAACAAGGTTCAGTCTTGGTATTCGATCAGTCCATTTTTTCACAACTTCCAGTTCAACAGTCACTCGCATTCAGTGCCACCTGAATAGTAGTTTTCTTTACGCATTTTGACCCACTTCCATTCCACCGCTTGTGGTCGATATGTGTCGATGTACAATCAGTCTACGGATTGTGTTCTTTTTTAATTATCATCAATCACTTCTGGAACCGATGCTCCAGCACTTTTTTCGTGTTATGTTGTTTGCTCAGTAGATGCGTTTGCCAATTATTCGTCCTCCATGCTCATCGTCATTGCTGTGACCGACGGTCAACTGCCACGCAACACCGATGACCTCAGACACTGGCTGTCTGTCCGGCATCCTACGTTGAGCTTACTTTCAACTCTGCCCCTCAATTTCCTCTAGTCTCTTACTTACTGGAGCACGTCCGATCACCCGGTATATGTTTTCCGAATCAAGTTTTTCACTCGAGTTGTAGATCCATCTAATCCGGTGTTTCTCACACCTTGGTAAACAATAGCGATACCTACTGCGTTCGTGTTCTGAAACGGTTTGAGCTTTCTTGCCTTCTCTTGCACTCCCTGCCTCTGGTGCTTGTGAGATACCTGGAATCAGGTGTTCTCACTGCACCCAACCCTAAGGACCGTAATTTCACTTGATGATATATGCAATGCGGACACTTGCTGCCGCCCCAACGGCCATTTGTACGGCATTGTGATGTTCATTCACTGTTACTTGCCCGATTGCATCAATACTACCGGTGTCCAAATCATCGGTTGTTTTTTCTCGTAAACATTGTCTCCCCAGAAATGTGTAAACGCGCAGCAAACGGCTTTCATTAAGTACTTGCTAGCTATTTGTTACCAATGGCCTTTAGTGTATTTTTCGCAATTTTCTCATTTCCAACCTGAATCTTTGCTCTCGTACTAAGGTGATGTCACTCGCTTTGTTTCTCTGCTCTTTATCGCTCCAAGGAATTCGAGTTAGAACTCTCCGAAACCCGGGCGAAGCTTGCTCTACAGAAAGAACATGAGAAGCGTCTTTCTGAAATGATTTCCAGTCTTGAGTATCAATTCTCCGTGAGTCTCAATAGAAGTGATTTTTCATCTTACTTGACGAGAGGTTTCAAGTTTGTCTCAACTGCGCCAGCTGTAGCCTGCTTTGTCTCTTATCCAGCGCAATCCGGTGCTCTTGTTTCGCTCAAATCTCAGCGCTGAAAGTGACAGGAACTAAGAGCACCCAGTTTGGTCGTTGGTATCTACAATTTCCGCTGTCAAATTGACGATTTTCCACCCCGAACCTTACACTTCACTAGAACCGACAAATATAATGCAGTCCTCCTCGATGCGCGGTGACCTAGCACACTCTGTAAGTGCTCAAGCCAACTTAACTTATTCAGAAGATAAGCACTCGTTGTTGACCCCTCATACTAGTGTGCATCTTCAGTTCCACCGTCATCATCTTGTGACCGCATCAATCAATTGGTTAGTTACCGCTTTTCCTGTTGCACAGGCATCTGGTATGTCACGCCACTGCTCTCGGCATTTTGTCAATAGTTGTGTGACTACTACTCTACTGAGAAAATTACATGTTAAATACCACACCGCTCAAACCAGCTGGTTTCAAGTCATGTGTTCTATAGGTTTGTTGTTCTCCGCAGTCATTTTGCAACAACGGATGAGTGATAAGCGACTGTTCGTTTCCTACGCGATGACAGGGAGAGCGAGCTGGTGGGTGACATCACATTGGTGTGCACACTCCATTTCTTTTAACCTATCGTTTGCCATAGACCACAAATGCAGTATTGTAATTTTCATGTGGCCGATATTTCCACAACTTGTGGTTATTACTTGCCCGGTCCAGTCCTGTGTTCTTACCCAGCTTTTCTTCTGGAAGCTACCGGTGTCTTTACTGCTGTGTATCCATTCAGAAGTCTCAGGATTTGCACACGTGCCCACAGTGTGATGGTTTCACATGTTCCCGGAAACCGGCGGTCTGCGACTCCATCTTCTCAGGACTCACCTGCGGTGCATGCAGAAACGCACTTGTGAAGGGGGTTGCTTGCTTTCTCTGTATGCAATCGTACTCTTGGCTCTCACACTACGGAGTACTCGTTTTCTAAGTGAACGACTTTGGTGGGATAGTATGCGGAACGTGTGGAGTTTGTACTCCACGACGTCGTGCTCTTGGTATATATCCCCGTGGGCAATTCGGCTCCCTTCTTCCAACACGCTTATCCGATATCTGTTGCCAGTGAGAATCAATTTCGCCTACTTCTGGGTCCCTTGAGCAAATCAGCGACGTTCTGCTTGAGCGAAGCAGCTTTCTGCGTGCACGTTCTTTGTAATCAGTCGCAGTGCTTACAGGTTTTTTTCTTTCATTACACCTAGAGTGCGTTCCAGCGGACAAACATTTTGTTCCTCCAGCATCCTACTCTAAAAGCATCATAATCATTATACATTAGCTGAAGATGATAAATGCATTCTAGCTAACTGTGCCGCAGTACAAAAGATATATGAGAAAGCGAGCTACTAAACATTACAGTATACAAAACTGAAAACGCATGTGATGCTAAGTGTAGTATTACGCATGCCGTGTGAGGTCGTTATTACAGTCGGAAGCTAAGTGCGAAGGACAGACAAAGAAACTCACAGCACAGACACCACTGAGGTCGGCTCTTGGCCATCTCAACAAATGTATCCAGCCAAATATATTCATCGTCCTTGGGACCCCAGTACATTAGAAGCGCTGGTCGGCGGTTTATTTTCAACGGCCAGCTCTCCATTGATTTCCCATAAGTGACGTGCTAAAGCACCCATATGAAAACATCCACTTCGACTTCGTGTTATTAAGGTTACATGAAGTAGTCGAATGTGTCCATAGCGAATCCTCTTTTTTTAATGGCATACAAGTAACGAAATAAGTCGTTGAGCTGCTCACACCAGTTCTGGCATAGTGACCTCTGGGGGCTTATCATATGTGTCGAAACGACGGCGTACTTTCTGTATTGAATATCTGCTTTGTGCGCTTGCGGGCAGTGCGTTTGACCTCCGCAGCTTCAATGGCTTATAACTGGTTTGTGATGTAAGTGATTAGCGGTTCCGTTTGACAAACTCTCACTATTGCTCACGGATTCTCACATGCAGTGTCCTTATTTTAACTCTTCCGCTTGATTATCTGCTTACGTTGTGGTATCTGTCTAGGTGTATGGCACGTGGCGTGAATATTTTGTGCGAATGCGCCGATCGATCTGTCGGTGGCTCTAAGATGTATACGCTTGCCTTTTAATTCAGAGGTCACCCCTTCGGATCCGCGTGGGCGCGGTCAACCTCGCGGCATACCCAACCCACACACAGCTGTTGCTGCTTGCGTGGTAGCGAAGCGTCGGTACGGTGTGTCGGCGTACTCCCGATGCCTTCCTTTTTGCCACGCACTATACAACCTTCTCGTGTCAATATATCACACGTTTGTCTAATAACAGATACGCACTCACATCTGTCCTCTCTTATTGTTCTAACATAGTTCGTTGAACCTAGGGATACAGTAGTGGAGATGAGATAATGAAACACGCTTGATCCATGTGACCACATTTCCCCCTGACTAAATCCATTTGGTACGGAGTCTTGATATAATTTTTTACCAATCGTCTCTTTATCTTGGTCGATACTATCCATTGTGTGTGTGCGTGATTCGGAGACTGCCTCGCATTCCACTCTTGAATCACACCTATCATATCCATCCATGTTTATCGATCAACCAGCCTTCACTTCTGCTGTGCGCCCCTAGTTCCTGCTGTGCGTCATGCACATCTGTCCGCATTACTTGTTCTACATCCTCGCCTATATATATATATATTTGCAAAAGTCTGCTAACAGACATAATGCCATCAGAAATCATGGGATTCAAACGAAGGTACAGAAACAGTAAAATAAAACACAACACAACAATGTCCATGGTTTCCTCAGAGGGCGAGATACTACCCGGTTGCCCAAGCCGAAGTAGGGTGTTGAGTTAGGGGACACCACCCCGAGCCTTTGGCTGAATAGCCTGCCCGCAAGGCAGCGGAGCGAATTCAGGGAATCGCGCCCATTGGGAGCCGGTGACTGATTGCTCAGTTCATATGCCTTTCGTTTGTTCCTTTGTCAAACAGGGGCCCAATGCTCCCCAGAAGTACAGCATAAGGTTGCTGGAATACAATGCTTCGCCAGGATGAAGCAAGGGGCAGTGACTTTATTTAGTGGCGAGTCACGTCCGCCACGTCACAGTGTTGTTAAACGGACACATGTGGCTTTTAATAGGGAGAACGCTTGCCAGGCGAAAACCCACCACGTCCTGGAACACTGCCGCCGAACCATTTGCTGGAACGGGAAAATCCCGAACCACCCAGCTGGCACCACGAGGAGGTTGTTCAGCAAGCCAGCCACATCCTCGCCTAAGTAACTGTTGCCCTCATCTACCAACTTTCTCATTCCTGTCCTCCGCGAATTTCCTGTTTTGCTACCCCACTCAGCTCTTCGACCGTTTGTGTTCTTTCGATCTTCGCTCTTCCCCGGTTCTTTCTTCTCGTACGAGACTACAGCTCCTTTGTCCGCTCGCTCGCTCTTTCTCTCTCGATCTATTTTATTCGATGTAGACTAGGGCCCCATAAAATCTAACTGATTCTCTTTCACTCACGCAAGCACTAAAGCAGTACAATCTTGCCTTAAATTTGGACCGTCGGCCAATCTTTGCTCACCGCCTCAATAGTACTTCGAAGCCTCCCACGGCTCGAACCCATCACCCGGACTTATGGACTCGTAGTCAGTTCTCTTTTCAATACTCAAAAAACTCTATCCTCTTTCCTGTACCTCCTAGCTACTTCCAAAATACACCCGAGACCAATTTGACTAACTCTTCTATCACTACTCCGTCGTTTCACGGTACTTCTAAAAGAGCAAGGTCCAGTATCTCATGAAATTATCCAAGCTAAGTGTATTCCGTTGATTATCGCGAGTCTCTTCTAACCCAAAAGTGTAATGCACAGTTTTGGTCTCACCATCGGAAGTTCAACTCCAGTTAACATTCTTTTCATAAGGAGGGCTTGTCACTCGCTGATGTGGTCGCTTAACAATCTCACTTCTGGAAAAGCATTCGACCACTCGAGTTTTATGTTACCTCCGAAACGGTCCCATTGATCGAACTGATCTGGTTTCTCACGAAATCACGGTTCAACCGGAAATTTCATTTCGTGATCCGTACGCACACGGAGTGCCCTAAACCTGGTATCGATTTCCTAATAGCTGTACCAATCGTCGTCCACCGTACTTTATGGTCTAGTGATGACGACCTCTGTTTGCAGCCCCTAATTGAAGAGTCCTAACAAGGACGAATCTAGTGGTGAAATATCGTGTTGCTAGCGAGTAAAACCCGACACTCGTCTTTCCCTACCATTCCTTTTCAAATCTCCACTGATCCCTTTCCTTCAGGCTTTGGCGGACTGTGTGCCGGCCGTTTCCGTGTCCACATGTATTTCATCAGCTTGGTAGCTTTACATGCGACTTTTATCGTTACCTGTACGTACGTTTATGGGACCTTTTTAAGCTTCCCTGGATCAGCGGATCCGGATTCTCTTTCCACTTGTCTGTACCTGGCACGGGCCTTACGTTCCGTCAGATGACCTCATGATCTTTGCAACCGGGTCAAATAGTAACAGCTATTTCTCCAGAATGTCATGTATGCACTCTGCCCCTGACACCTTCATTTATTCCAAACTACCTGTCCGAAACTTACCTGTTTTTTCACCTACATTGACCGCATTTCGGAAGGTACTACTCACTGTCTTTCGAAGACTAAAAACATACTTCGACCTTTTAGAACCAATCTTTCAGTGTGTTATGATGACATGCTGACCTCATTCCCCGATGGGCTGAGATACCGTCGAAATTGATTATCATTTTCTGTGATACGCTCCAAAGTGCTTTCCAGTGATAATTATGTCCTAGGAAAACGATGGACATATAAGCGGTTTGTAGCGCATGGATAGAACCATTGGGCTACGCTGTCAGTCCTCTGATCAAGCTGCTCAATTCTGAACTTACTTCAGAATCGTTGATTACACATACTAAACGAATTATTACCACTGGATGCCTCAGCTGTTACTACGCTTCTTGGATACGCACAGTTCGGTTTCCAGTCTGTTCATTTGCTTCTCTCCAAACTTCTTTAGAAATACTACCATAGACAGCGGAACTTACGCCTATTTCAAGCTGATGTGAATTACATCTGCCAGCATGTGTCACATCTTTCGATCACTACGGTATACTGCACGCAGGAGGCTTCGTTATTCTCGCGCAGGCCTCTTTACTCTTCCCGACCACTGTTATTCGGAGAGCATGCTTCCTGTTCCGTTACGGTTTCCATCCTCCCATGTTCAAGGTTCATGATTGTGGTCCTGGTTACCTCACTCTACTGATCGATATGTAGACTCTTTGGGACTTGCAGGGGTTTTTGGTACTGACACAGTTCGTCACACTGAGATAGCTCGCCACACGAACGGCTATTTTACTTGTGGCTCCTGTAGCCTCGTGTGCCTACCGTTCTTAATAGTGCATCGGGCACCCTGTTATCCAGGACTTTGTCCTTTTCATCTGCTTTTTGCAGCGGCTACTCATTGTGTTATTACACTGCACAACAATTTTTGTTGCTAGGAAACGAACAGTGGCTCTTATATAATCTAAGCATGCTGACTTCAAATCTGACATTGTTTTTCTCTTTAAGTTACAGCTCTTTTAAAAATCGACCATAAATGTCACTTTTCACATCTTTTAGCTACTTTTTGATAGATCGCACTTCGTAACAATATTTAGCTGCAAAGAATCTAACAGCAGTCGTCATATAATTCGACAATCCCGAATTCAAATCTGACATTGCTTTTTCTCTTTAAACCCCAGATTTTTGGAAACTCGACCATAAATATTTTTACGAAAAAGCAATGGGATCTATAACCTGTTATGTGGTTCGTAAATTCTCGCCAAACCATGGGAACTCGAAATGGCAAGCCTTGGAATTTGCCATTTTTCCAGTCACCAAGCATTTCCTCACATTAATGGCACACAATCCTAGGTGCCCTTTATAGGTCTTGGTCACCAAGAGGTATTTCAGAGTATACTTTCTAGGCATATTTTACAAACGGACTAATATTTCTCCACATATATAGCAGAATGCATTAGGTTCATTGAGTGAGACATGCTCATAACTGAAACGAAAGTGGATTGGTATTTAATTTTCTATTTATGTAAAATGTCAAAATGCCTGAAAACTAAGAGCATGCAGAAAAAACGGGTTTCGGACTTGAATCAGCGTAAAAATTTTTTATGTAAAACCGGTTTAAATATCTCTTTTGCAACAGAAAGTTGCAAAAAGTTTGTTGTCCTGTGTTATTGATTCCGTCTTTCCCATGTTTGTTTGACAGGAGCTGAGCGCCGAAAAGCAACAGTTGATGGAAAATCTCAACGCGGCCAAAATTGCCGGTGAGAGTTCTACTAGCGAGCTGCTTATTCAAGTAGTCAGATTAACTAATGATTTAACCAGAACCACTACTGAATTGGAGACCGCTCGCCAACGAGCCGACTCAGCTACAAACGAACTAGAGTATCTCAAGACCGCAGCGTCTAAGGTTATCGGGATTGATGTCGGTATCGACGCTCTGCAACCTGCATCCAATATCGAAGTCTGGGGTTTTTCCCCGCCCGCCACCGGGACTATGTCCGAACTTCGACAACTTCAATTTGAACTGGAGACCACGAAGCAACAATTGGCACGTGCCATGGATGATGTCATATTTGCTCAGAAGCAGGAGGAACTAGCCAACACGGAGTTGGAGTGTCACAAAGTAAGCCTGTCTCTTTTTCTTAGCCCCCTCTGCCCTGAACGTACCTTTTGTTCCTCAGTATATCCATGGTGGCGCTGCTTAAAAGATGCCGCCTCAATAACCTTTTATACCTATGCATGGAGGGCAAGGGCCTAGTTCAAGCCGTTATTCGCATACCCTTTATCCGACAGCTCCAGGACTTATGTGCTCCGATCTTGACACTGCCTTTCATCGCGTTCGCACACACGGTTCTAGGTGTACACCGTGTACAACGCCTGGACTTTTTATCAGGACTGGTAACGTGACTTGCAGTGCTAAGGGTTATTCGTTCTTGCATACATCAGTCGCCTATTATCGGTCTGCTGTTGCAAGACACCCACTCTCTACGGGTCACCGAGCACTTAGTCGATACTTATGTGCTCCTTTAACCGCTCATTTTTGTTCTACTCACCTCCTGGCAAATAGATAACTTGGACAAGGCGTAAATTGTGCATATTTCAACTCAGTCTTTGCGACACAATCCATTTCCTATTGAAATCCGCCCTACCCTATGTTACGTTCAGTTGAGTCTCTTTTTGCTTTAAATGAGTGGCTTCTGGTTACAAATAAAAATAAGACTTTAGTCATAACTTTTATAAAAGAGTTCACAGGTTCCACAAGAAAATGTAAGCACAATTGGGTTTGCGGCGGCTGTCAACTAAGCGTTTATATGCACATCTACAAACAAACAAATTGACGGTATTTTCTCTAACGGTACGAGGCACAGTCAGATAGGTGCTATGTAACCCCGCGCAGTTCTGCCATTTCCTCCTAACATCGAATTAAGGAACCGAATGTTGTTGTAATGTGCAGTGAACTCGGCGGTGCACCAATCTACCGAATCTGCTGTCCTCACTATTTCACAGTATCTCAATCGCGCAGTCCTGACATCAATTTCATTCCACTGCAGTCGCTCATTGTACCTCCACCTCATTGGTGTTCCGCTAATGCATCGACTCACTTCACTTACACTGATCACAACATCACATCCTCGTGTCGCTCCCCAAGCAACATCGTTTTTCATTGGTGTTACTCTCCTGTGTTACTTTTGATCTGTTTTTGTTTCGACTGGATTGCGCTCGGGCTCTTGTCTCATCATTGCCCGACTGCTCTCTCGTCACATCGCCACCTTTCCACCGTTAGCCATGTCATACATCAACTATCTCTCCGTTCTGTCTCCAGGCTACTCTTTTGCATACTGAAAAGCTTTTAGCTCAACTACGGGACGTTGCTGAGGCATCGGAGAACCAATGGTTACGTATGCTGGCTGATTCGAGTTCCGAACGCGAGAAACTCCTGATACAACTCGAGGAAGCGCGTTCACACAAAGCCCCGGTACGACGTTTGTCTAACGCGTACAACCTGTTCATTTTCCATTCCACATACTGGGTTTCTCCTGCTTCCTATTCCTTTTCTCTTACAGGGAATTATACTTTCGGCTGCATCCTCATCCAGGTTACCTCGAGATGTGTTGTCTCCATTCTGCTTCTTTAATAAGTACCACCGACTGAGTACACCCAAGACGGAGCTTCTTTACACAGGGCTTTGTTGTGTCTACTGAAGGAATTTGAGCGCATGATCAACTCTGACATCCCACATGGACTGCAACCAGATCTAATCTTTCTCCTGGACGATGGTGGTCACCAGATGTCGAATGGTCTGGCTTCCGCTACATTTTGTTTTTTTTTGCGTTCTGTTTAGCCAAACGTGATTCCAGTGTCGAACTGCGATGGATTTGATTGCCGGTGTTGTACACCGCCATACCACTAGCAAGCAACGTATATGAGGCAAACAGAGTGGAAAAGATTGCGGACGTGCGGGTGAAAAGTCAACAGAAAAGGCGTGAATAAACGTAATCCGCCTCATATTCGGAAAGCACAACAGGCAGAAGCTGTGCTATATTGCCACCGGCTTCGCCATTATGCCCTTTCGGAATTAGTTGTTACCGACTGCTGTGACCACTCTTATGGCCCTATCCAAAAAGACAGCATGACCCAAACTGATCGATTTGCACGAACAATTTCTCTCTTCTTTTGGCACGTCACCTAATGCCTCGCCCTGTCCTGTTAAGAAGCTGCAGTGTGCCTTGAGTTGAGCCGATTAGCAGGCATGCGGCAGATGCGAGCTAAGCACAGCACAAACGGTATACTGACACTCCGCAGCTTCGACGGATGGAGCCAACTCGGTCATCCTACCAGGTACAAGCGACAATCGTGCGCGATCAGCCGCCTTACACTGTCAACTCGCAGAGACCCTATGGCCGACCCACACGATAACCGTGCACTTAATGATGTTCATCTTGATCCAAACCGATAAGCTGGTATCATACTGTCTCTGTGACTGATTCCGATTTTGTTGCGCCGCACAGACTTTGTCGATGCAGCTTACGGCTAATTGCTCTCCAGAAATGGTGAAGTCGGCCAACTAGGTGGAGCAATCAACCAATTGTACTGGTTACTAAACAATTGCGCACTGGCGCATCGCACTTTCTTTTGATGCACTCATTGAAATATGCAAACTTGTGCGCCTATCAGTTCTGAACCCTTTGCGCAGGGGTAGTGTCCGACCTCGAAAGATCTGTTTCGTTTCGCGGTCCGTCACCTGACTGCCACTACACAGAAAGAAGTAGAAGAGACAGCCTCTCTGCTGTATTTTTGGTCACGAAGTCGAAGAGAATAGGAGCGACATAGTAGTCCTTTCACCTGATGCGGAAACAGTTGCCTGCAAACGAGCCTTCAGGAAGGTTCACCATTGAATTGAATTCCTCGATTAGGCACCATCCGCCAAATCGAAGGCAGTTCTGAAAAATTTGGGAAGGTGACCATAGTAAGCCGTCCGTATGCATTTTGATGGCATACATCCCTCAGCGTCTGGTATGTTGAAACCCTCCGCCCACTGTGGGCATTATTGTCCTTAACCCTGCCATCTTCCTTCTTAATGCAATGCAAGATGCGATTCGTACCAGCTTTTTGCTTCTTTCCGTAGGAGTTCCGTCTTATTTTGTTGGTTCACGTATGAGTCTCTACTTTGGCTTCTACGAGCTTTAATCTTCTCTTTATAGATTCTCGCCTAAGCGTGGAGTATCCTCTGTTGAGTCATTGATCCATTTTGGCTTGATCTAAACCATGGGTCCCAATCAAACCAGTTTAAATAACACCCTGTTGACCCATGCATTGGCTTCGGTGATTAGCAAGAAGACCACTGTTACAAGCGCCATCAGATAAAGCCACTTTTTGTCTGATACTTCCACAGCCGAACAAGATAGCGTGGACATTGAGTGAGATACGTAGAGTTTCGCTCTCTTTACGTATCGATTTTTCACGTTTCACAGACCATTAGGGCACTTTTGTGCTCCTGCTCGCAAGATAACATTTCGCTACCTGATAATTCCAGTCGACCTACTCTTATAGATTTTACGAATAGAGCGTACGCAAAAGCCCAGAAGGCAATTTTCTTCTTGGGGCATTGCGTGTTAAGTTACACTCACTGTAAACAGAGATGTCAAAAGACGTGAGATGACCCAGTCATTTCGTGCCTATCCCCTCAGTCACGTACAAGGCAACTAACAATTTGAAAACAAGCAAGGTCGGATGCGGTCGATTGGTGGTCAGCTGATGGCCAACTATTACTGCGGCACTACCACGGCAGGCTCAATGTTACTGTCAACTGCTTCTGTACGCACAGAGGCGGCCGCTCGCGATCGATTACAATGGCTTCAAGTAGCTTGAGTAAATACGGTTTTTGGTTACGTATGAGGACAGTGAATGAATCACTTGGGTTGACCTGGTGGCCAGGGTTCAGTAGATCTCTCATGATTGCCGAAGCTATTTTGCTCATCGATGACATACTTCTAATTATGGATTCAGATGCTGACATTGTGTAGGCAACATCTGCACTCAACCGTATGCACCCAAACATCACTGTAATCTGTGAGGCTGAGCACGATCACCGCCTCCCATATCTCAACGTTTTGCTCATACGAAGGCCGGATGGTTCCATCAAGCGGTCAGTCTACCGGAAGGCAACCTGGACGGGCCAATATCTACATTTTAAAAGCTTCTCACCAATACAACATAAACGCTCGCTGGTCCGGACATTGTTCCATCGAGCCAACCTAATTTGTACGCCGGACACACTTGAAGCAGAAAAAGATTTTCTATTCGACACATTTCAATCCAATGGTTACCCTTTAAATTTCATAAAGCGCGTCTGTGACACGACGAGGCGAGAACCAATGACCACTGTCCAGAAGAAGCCGGTTTTCATTGAGCTGCCATTCAGAGGTGACCACATCATGAAGGTCACCACGAAACGGATAAGTGCCTCTTTGAAAAAGGCGTATAATGTGGCTGAGGTGCGGTTGCTCACATCAACAAGATCATTGCTTATGTGCTCATTGAAGACACCGACGACGAAGCAGTGCATGTCCCACTGTTTATACAAATTTACCTATAGCTGCGGGGACAGCTACATTGGGCGCACTAACCGAAGTCTAGGCGTCAGGATCGATGAGCACATCCCTAAATCGTTGCGCAAGCGAATGGGATCTCAGACGGTGGAACTGGGTGAATCCAGGCAAAATAGCTTCGGCAATCATGAGAGATCTACTGAACCCTGGCCACCAGGTCAACCCAAGTGATTCACTAAATGTCCTCATACGTAACCAAAGACCGTATTTACTCAAGCTACTTGAAGCCATTGGAATCGATCGCGAGCGGCCGCCTCTGTGCGTACAGAATCAGTTGAGAGTAACATTGAGCCTGCCGTGGTAGTGCCGCAGTAATAGTTGGCCATTAGCTGATCACAAACCGACCGAATCTGACGCTGCTTGTTTTCAAATTTGAAACAGTTAGTTCCCTTTAGTAATTTGAAAAGCGCAGTAAGAAAACGAAGACTGGTAAATGCACGCATTTCGTATTGTTTTCAAATTGTTAGTTGCCTTGTACGTGACTGAGGGGACAGGCACGAAGTGACTGGGTCATCTCACAGCTTACGTCTTCTGATACTCTTACTGTATTCCAAAGAATTAATCATACTTTCACTTCACAGTCATATATTCATCCGTCTATTGACGTCTGTATTCGCCTTGCTTACGTTTTCCGCTTTGTCTATCTCTCCGGAAATTTCCTGCCTGACTCATTCTACGGTTGGACCGCACCGACAACACAGTCTTTTACTCTTTTCGTATTCCGGAAACCTTCGTGCTTGTAAAATGCTTTGGTACTGGAATAGTGGATATTGACAAACTCAATTATGAGTTTAGTTCCTCTCCTTTGAGCGCTTTTTCATTACCTTCCTTCACTAGCTCAGACCAAGCCTCCCTATTTGATCAAGTTGTCAACAGTGAACCCAAGAAGCAGTGCACCGATTCCCTCACATTACCATTGACTGATATTTTTATCAAGTGTCTCATGACCTGTCTCATCCCCGACATCTGGAGGTCAGCCATAATAACGTCTATCCCTAAATAAGAACCTCAAAAGTATCGGCCTATTGCTTGTACTTCCGTGCTCTTAAAAGTCCTCGTAAGACTACTAGTCCCAAGGATTTCCACATCTACTCGTGCTGATAATGTCTACTAGTTTGCATTTAGACTCCAGCGCTCCACGCTTGACGTTGTTTCGTACCCTGTGCATTCAATAGCCTGAGTGCTAGCTAAGCAGTACAGGCCCGTACGACTTATTTTTCTTGATTATTCCAATGTGTTCGGGAGTCTTGACCGATCAGTTCTGCTTTATTTGTAACTGGTCGCGTGACTATTTCACTGATCGTACGCACTTTACCCAGTGAAACGGCAAAAGCTCCTCTATGCTACGCGCTGACTGTGGTGTTTTGCAGGGCATGATCCTTTCACCTCTTTATTCTCTTTATATGTCGATAATCTCCACATACCATCACCATTCATTGGATGTAAATATGCTGACGATGTTGTCGGGGTGCAGAGTTCCCACCACTGAGACGTCTACGCTTCAGTGTGGTTTAGACGAAATTGTGAGTTGTTCCTCAACCAGGTCCCTTAGTCTTAATGGTTTAAAATGTACTGACGTAATCTTTTCATTCATCCGCCCTGATACATTGTGAGTGGTTTTCGATGCCTTTGTTAACTTTGGAGTACGAAACCATTCTTAGTTCATCCACTGCCAAATATCTCGTTGTCTGTTTTTCACAAAACCTCAGTCCATGAACGTTTTGGAGACCTTTCATAAGGTCAGAAAGTTGTCTTTTCATGCTTTCCGACTTAAAAGTTCTCCCTACCTCGAAGCTTAATTTTGTGATTTGTAACTACATGCATACTATTCCACTGGTTATACTGTTCCCCAGTAATTTTCTCTGGACTGCTACAGAACTATGTTTAATTGTGCGATCGATTAAACATATTTCCAGTGGTGGTAGCTCGCCTAGAGATTCGATAGTTTCTTTTATTACTCGTAAACATTTTGACGCTTATATAAAATTTCTTTCTGAGATCTTGTGTGATCGCTTTCATCCGCTACATACTGCTCTCTCACACACCCAGAATTTAGGATTTCATTCTCTCGCACTTCTTCGTATCGTAACACAACCTTACCTTATTTGTCACCCCTTCTTGTTGACCCTAAGAAAGTCACAAATGCTTTACGCATGCGGTTGCTTGAATGACATCTACATACCTTTGATTATTTAAGTCTTCAATCCATATTTATTTATTTTTAACTGATCCCATTTATTCAACCTATCCACAGTGATAATGTAGATGCTGATAATTCACCTATTTAGGTGTATAAAGCTTATTTTGACTTGACACATACCATCTCAAAATTTGGAATTGGTGCAGCCCCAGGATCAGTGTTCTTCTTTGATTCGCTCCCTATTCCAGGCTCCTGACTGTGCCACCCGACGATTTTACCTTATTGTTCATTTCCTTCGGCATGCTTATCACTACTGTTACTATTAGTACTTCGCTGACATGAGTCAAAAGCATCTGGGTTCACATCGGTGCATGGATTGCAGTTAATCACTGAACTGCAAGACCCTTCCGAGTCGTGTGCAATAGTTCCACGAAGTCTCCCCTTCGCTGCTTGCTCGGTTCTACGACCGTTGGCCTTCAGTTTCTTTCATTTCGTTAAAACCCTCAATATTCACTTCCTATCGACCTGCTTAGGCCAGTGCCATCTTTTTGCTAGGCTGTCATCGAGCATCTGACTCGCCATGTGTCAACTGCTCCTCGCGCTTTCTAGGTCACCGAGAAACTGAATGCATTAAACTGAAGCAATCGTTAAAACGGTCAAATCATTGGTCGATTACTTCAACTGAGCTTACGCGGTTTCGTGCGAAGTGTTCACATGCAATCGCTCGAACACATAGGCTTTCAGTTCTCCGATTTTGTTACGCACACAAACTGGTTATTTTCTACCCATGCGCCTATTTACTAAAACCTGATCCTCGCGTTCAAGATGAACCCTTAACCCCAGCAGGCACTGGTGGCTATGATTGGTACGATGGCATCCTTTTCACTTGGGAAACGGTACTCTGCGTGCCCTAATCATGCTTCCGTATCCTCATCCTACTTCATGTTGCAACCTTTCGATTGTTTTCATTTAACCATTTCATCGACGCAGAGATAAGAAATAAACTGTGATAGTTACCATTTTGATTGTCCTCCTCAGTCGCAACGCAGCACGTGCATGGAAAACTTGCACACTTAAATAGGTTAGTGTCCCCGTAAGACAAGTAAGCTTATTGGTGACTAGTGAATATTGTGCAATCATGACCAAAGTAATCTTACTGAATGCATCGGTCGGTTCTGTGCGCACGACACCGGACAATTCGCCCTTAGCAGCAACGGTCTAGTTTCCGATTTTGGTTACCTGACAACACCTCGAATGCATGCACCAAGTCGACCTGGTGATAGACATGGCGGGGTTCGTGTTCATCACTTGGTCCACTCCGTTTCATTGTTACAGGGATCGCTTTAACTTGGTTGGATTTCTCACGTTACCCGTTGCACAGTAGAGTCTTGTGTAATAATTCTTCTCCGGCCTTTAACAGTTCTGGGCTGCAAAATCTCCTAGCCCTGTACAACACTGTTTTCACGAGTCCGAGTTTCTACGCGACAGGGATGAAGCCGAAAAAATGGTTATTTTCTTTTTCAGGTCGCTTTGCAGTGGACAATGCCTGTTCCTTTGTCCGGTTGTAAAATCACGTACCTCACCCTTCACAGTTGTACCGAAATCTGTCTTGTTTCCTACAAACTTTCGATCCCAGCCAAAATCAGAAGTCAACGACCATGACAGAATGGGCTTCAACGGAGCAGCTATCAAAGCTGAGTGCGCGATGCAAATGAACTGAGTTGCTGGTTGTGTGTAGGCTATCCCGAGAACATTCGTTTTCTAAGCCAGTTACGTTCACTCCTAGAATTAGAGCTCCGAAGCCACTTCAGTTAGCCTGTAAGTGTTTAGAGGCACATACGATTTACATGAGCTTTATTGATCCAGATCCTTCTCTTGCAGAAGTGATTGCTATTTGGGAACATGTTGCGTTGTCTTCCGGTCATAGGGCTATTCGGTGTGAACGAGGACCGTCTTTTCACCATGTCTATCTACTGCATGCCGTTTTACCATCCTCGATTACTTCCCGGAATCGTTAATCCAATAACGTCCCACAACGGAGTGGAGGGTTTCGGCGTTGCTCTCTCCCATCACCGCACTCTGCAATGCGTTTCGTCCTTGTTTGAACTCTTCTGGTAAAGATACTCGTTCTGTGAGTGGAACTCGGCACATAGTGGTCAGCAGCTATTGTCAGGATCACTAGGCCCCAATTGAGATTGCATATCGCAATCCAGGGTGCACGGCACGTACTCCGAAACCTAACATTCTACCACAACGGACATCTTGATCATATTGATTGTAACAACGGAAATACACTAAGTCTAATTACATGGCACAAATCGTATATAAACAGTGCTTCTTCGGTTGCAGGGGTTATCTTGAACCACTCGTCTTGTGAATGAATAGTGACGCGTAATCTCACTATGAACCGCGATTCGCATTGAAGTAGATCTTTGTCATTTCGATCACTAGGACTGTAAATGATGAGACAGATGCATATTGGATGTCACCAGCCTCCGCCAAAACCCCAAAGGCTCCGGGTTCCATGTCTGCTATCTCCACACGAAGAGGTCGAAACTAGTCGTCCAGTGCAGTGTTGTTGAGGCGAGAAAGATATACTATTCAACTGCTACCACGAGTCATAAACCTAGACTGTACGCACGATCTGGGCAGGAAACGGTTGAGGCAGATGACTGTAATATACTCCTGTAACTGGTTCTAAATGGTAGGATAATGCACAACACGTAGCTGCCGATTAGGTTCCGAACATGCAAGCATCGGGCGGAAACAGCTGCTAGTAACACTAACCTTACTAGCAGGCCAATGACATAAAGTGCATGCAAGTGAGGCGAATGAATAACGATACTTGTACCGGGATGTGGCAATCTAACACACGAAAAGCATGTTATTGGTCCGAAAAGCTGGAGCTGTGTGTGAATTGGCGCACTGAGTCATCAAGTGTGAATAGTCCAGCTGATACACGTTCTTATGAACTTTACACTGTTCACCTTATCAATCTATCACATTGGTTTTTAAGCACCCAGTGCTTGCTTGTCGCTGCCTTTGCTAGATGAGACACCGTTTTGACGACTAGTAAATGTACACCTTGAACTCTGCACCATTCTGTGCGACCATTGGCGTTCGTTCTGAAGACCCTCTTAAATTAGTGGCCACTATGGTTCTTCGGTACTTTCGAAAACTCAGTCACCTTGTTTACACGTTAAGTACACATACCATTTCATGTCACATGCCTTTATGCGATGTATGCTGATCAGATCACTTTTCCTCACCATCGCTTGTCACTGTCTCCTCCCTGTGGTTCCCAGTCACAAGTATTGTCATAATTTCAGTCATCTTTTAGCGGGCTGGCCTAACCCTCAACACGTCGTGATGTGAATTCGGAGGTAATAAGTTGTGTTATGAAGTATCGCTAGGGCATAAGCCGTTTCCTTTTGTATCACTTTTGTACATCATTGACTTTTTGCACGTCTCCTGTATTTCATTTTTTATCTTTTGATCAAAACTACGAACTTTTCCCACTGACTTCGCTTACTTTATGGTTGCAAATTGCTGTTTAGAATGGACTAATGCTTCTCTGAACTTTACTTCATAACAGTATTCCAAATTTGTTCTAGCCATTTTAATACTCATTGCAGATCAGATCCATCCACTTCTTGGAGTGTTCTGTCCTCGTGCACGTGTCCGACAGCACTTGTCACAGTTCACTCGAATCGTACTTGTGTGCGATCAATTTTGTTCTCGCTTACCATTTGTCTAACGCCTTTTTCTGAATCCTCCCCCGTATTTGTTCTTCTCTCGTTTGTTCAGAAAGATACCCAGCTCGGCGCTCATGTTCTCTCATCTGTTCAAACCCAGACCGTACGCTCTTGTCCATTCACTGACACTTCACCAAAGACAAAGAACGCCTCCTCATTGAATCTCGTAAGTCATGCCTACATTGACCCGTAAGAACAGTAGCTTTTTTCTTTGTTTACTATACATTGCCCATGATGTGCTTCACATTAGGCGCCACTTCGACCAGATTTTTCCTTACCTTTATTCATGCGCAACGTCCCGGTTGACTCCTCTAACTTGCTAAGCCACCTATTTGCTCACTGACTCGGTTCATAGCCTGTCATTCCTAGGCTAGACGACTTCCGTCTCGTCGCTTCATGTCAAGCAGGCCGAGAATCACAAATGCACCCGGGTTGTAAGATAAGCTGGATTTGACATTATTCATCTGCTTATTGATTCTTCCTCTTCCCATTTTTACTTTGGCCTCGAGATGGTGGTTTTATAGTGGGGTACTCACGAACGCTTACAGGTTTCTTTGATTTTGTGTTTTCGCAGTTACTGTTCTGAAATCACCCAGGCTGGCAGCACTTATTTCTATATCCGGTTCTTTTAAGGATCTGTCTCCTGGCCCACAGCCAATTGCGATCCTAATTACTCTTCTTTGCTACAAATGTTTACATGTGCGTCCTAGCAAAATAGCACCTGTGACATTTTTATGCAGACAAATTAACGGTATGTGTGCGCATCGTGTGTCATCAACTTCTTCCCGGGAGTGAAACGCTCTTTCCTTCCGGTGCACCTAAAGGCCCTTTGATCCTACACTACATTACGAACCAACTTCGACTGCTTTTAACTTGGTTATTAAAATTACTGTTGACTCCCACTCAAGGTCAGGTTCCTTTCTGTTCGATCACCATCCTATCCAGCCCTCTCTCCCTTGATCTCGCGGGCTGTTTACATTGCTGCACGTGAGGAGACCGGCGGCGGCTGTTCTGCATTGTTCCTCGCCTCGTGTCCCGTGTACCACTAATTGCATGTGCTTTGTGTTCACCGGTCGCACTTGGCATATCACTGACTTGCTCTGTCCCGTGGGCTCCCCTCTTGCACTTTCGTTTTCGTGACTGTCCTGTATTACAGCGTTCAGTGCAGTTTAATTGATGTACCATGCTTCCAACACTGAAATGCATTCGGACTCGCGTTAACGTTTTCAACTAAAATGAAAATATAGCTAGAAACTACAGCCAGTATCCGACCAGAGGTAGCATCGAAGCCTCCTGAACTAGGAGCGAGCTTTGATTTTCAGTGAAATGATTAACATTTAGGCTGGACTGATTTCGAGGTCCAGTTTCATCAAGCTCCCAGTCATGTTCCTCATGTGTCCGCCATGTCGTCAACCTGTCACCGTGTTTCTAAGTGTTCAGCTAGCTCAAGTATTGCTGTAGTGGCTCCACCCTTTTGTCTTATCATGTCCATTTGTCACTATACGAATCACCCATCGTTGCTGTCACTTTAATCATTGGCCCGTCGTCATAGCAACGACTGACTTCCTTTAGCACCACGTTAGCTCGCATCTGCATCTCATGATAGCACGGAATAACCAATATGACTTTTTTTATCTCTTAGGAAGCTTATCCAAACGACTGCTCATCACTGAGTCGCCGCGCATTCGTGCGTTGGGTTTGTTTTGACTAACTCGCTTTCTCCAGACACTTGGATCAATCTACCCGCCTTGCTTCATAGAGTGTTTGGTGATTCCGACAAGTCTAGTATGCACAGCGGCTATTACAAAAACTATACCTGCCTACTGAAACTGATAACCTGCTTTCCGACCCTTTAGCAGCACTGAAAGCCCTTCGTTTTCCATTGCGCCCCCTTATTCTCTCCCCTCTGATCCTTGTCTCTGAGTAGCATTGTGCTCAGCTTTCGCGGTGTTCACTGTGATAGGCAACATAATCGCACTGCATTGCTTTACATTGGTCACTCATATTAATAGCTTTGTCGTTTTGTCTGTCTGCCACTTCGTGCGAATCAATAGCGAATTTTCTTGGCCTAGCATAGTCGAGATAACAACCAACCTGCGTTTTTGAAGTCTGCACTATAACAGTCAGGCAAAATGCACCTTGAACCGAACGCACTACAGCTTAAGTCAGTATGTGACCTGGTATTCGCTCGGCCGCCAAACGTGACTTTGTGATTTTATAGCGGAACTATCATGTCTGATATTTGTGTGGGTCGCACTCGCGTTCAACGGCGTCGTATAGGTGTAACTGCTGAAGACTTTTCCCCGACAAATTGCTAACTCATCTCTTACTCTTTTTGTAGACTAGTATAGGACAAAAATCTTTCTGCATAGTCACCACATCACTCTGTGAAGAGAGCCTATTTAGTCATGCTTAATTCCACTCCACTCCCCTGAGGGATCTCACTAGGTGACGATTATGATTTCAACTGGCAACTACCTGATTGAAGCGGCTAGTTTACTTGTTTTGCTGCCCCTTTTGTGCACTTGTTTAAAAAGCGTTGTGGCCTCACCGATGATCCTCTCTACTGAGGTGCGTTCGCAAGTCATCTGTACGACGTCGTTAAGGCCTATAGCCAGTGTTTTGCCTCCTGTTGCTACGCCCCACGAACCATGTGTACTATCGTTTACAATGATATTTCTTTGCTTTACGGATGACGATTTAACGGCGATTCATTCACAAGCGAGACAATCGGTCCGCATAGCTGTCAGAACGCTCTCATAACTCACTCGTTTTTGCGCCTCCTACTTAGTAGAATCTCACAGTATGTTACAAATCCCTACTGAGATAACGCTAGCATAATGAAAAAGCACCTTCTAGCCGCCATCGATGGTTTCCTAATACTTAGTGTTTAGGCGGTCTTCGCTTCTATTGGGACAGTTTGCCGTAGGGTGGGCGTATTTGTCCAGCCCAGTATTGAATGTGCTCCCTTCTGGAAAGTTCTTGCCGCCGCTCACACGATTAAACACGCCCGTTGGCCTAAGAGCCATGGAGCACATTATGCGATCGATACATGGTACCTTGATTTTTTCATTTGTTATCTGGCCTACATTAATGCTAAGGATTCTAAATAACGGTGGTACTGCGTTTCGGACACCTTTGTGCTTGCGCTAGGAGCCGCTCGAGCTACAAACTTAGTAAAGCTAACAGAATAGTTTGCACTTCAGCATGGAATTTTCAAAACTCGCACACACACCGCACGGGTTGTTAGCTCAGACCGTCCCCAAAGTGCTTTCATACCTTAACTGTGGCCCGATTCCACTGTGTGCTGCTCCGACCTCGTGTCTCTCGGTGTCGAGCCAGACGCAAGATGTCGACCGTTGTCCTCTGTCGAAGTAGGACCACTTGCTTTCGTTACTTCATGTTCATGTCTAGCTATCGTACAATTCTTGAGGGATAGCTACTGTATGTAAGTACATAGTGCTCCATCTGTATGCAACTCACACTTGCAGTCGCTTTTTTACATCACTCCCGACGAAATATGTGCAATTTCTTTCAAAACTAGTCGGCTAAAGCCCCGGCTCGGGATTATTGATTCAGCTGACGCCCAGTCTATTGTGGAATAGTGTAAAGTGAATCGTCCCAGCTAGGTTCAGTCAGACAACTACCACACATTTTGAGTAGCACTGAACAGCCTTTTTGTCCCCCGGATTTTAACAGCAGCTCACATTTCTCTCTAGTCTTTCAAGGCTTGAGCCTAAGACCATGACCAATTACCATTTGCTTTGATACTCACTTTCGTTCTACTCTACACTGACATGAAATACTTACTCGAATGATCTGCTTATTTTTGTGTCTCGGTTTTCTTCTATAGCGTTTACACATTACGCCCCCTACTAGGCTGTAAGGCGACCAGAATGTTGTTACTTCTCTTAAGCTCTATTTAGCCCATATATTTCCTTCTCATTCCTTTTCACCTGCATTTCCCATGTGCGCTGCAGTGCCTCGAAAATGGTAACACATTCTCGTGTGAGACAACGATCCCCGAACGACCATGCTCCAACACCAATGATCAGCACAGAGAAACTGACGTAAGCCGACCTCAACTTCACCATAACTTATCGTTATGTGCTTGTATCATTGAGAACCATCTCATCTCTGTTACTTCCTGTTGATTACCACAAGGTTTCACATTAACTCCTAGTCAGTAATCGTCGCTGGAACTGCGCTGCAATGTCTTCATTGGGTTTACCACGCGTTCCTTGTACCATTCGTTTCCCCCCCCCCCGTCTTGAATGCGGCTTGACTCATTTTGTTTTCGTTCGTTCAGAACCACACCTCTCCCGGTTGTTCATTGTTCCATCCCTCAACGCCTCCACTCCTTACTTCAACTAGCGATCTGTTCTCTGCCTCACATGGCTTGGCTTCTACTTTCGAGCCCGACTCCGCTTCTGAGCCAGTCGCACTATGTATGCGTAGAATGTTGTATGAGCTCCGTTCCCCTTCCCAATAATAAATGCGGTAGTCTTTTTTGTCCATTGTTTGAAATCTCCTGAGCGACACCATCCTATTTGCATATGAGATCAAGCCCCGTCAACATATCATCTGCCTCAAATTTTCTCTTTTTCTCTTAATCTTTAACCGCATCAAGGTACCATAATGGCGAGCAAATGAAGTCTGATCGATCGGGGAGTGATATTAATCCCATGCACAATGTTTTGTGGTGCAACTGCATTCACACTGACCAGCTGCAAACTACCCGACCACAGTTGGTCAGCTTGTGGGTAGATGGACAAGAATCTAGTTCTCCGGTATTATTCTCATCTCCTCGATGTTTTTTCGAAAGTGCATCCACTGACTTGCACGAAAAGGGGTAATCCTTAGCCATTGCGTTTTACTGAAGCTAAGGCAGTCTGATATCGTCTCGAGTGATCATCCTCCAGTCATACGATTGCCTATACGACTGAATGTAACCTATTGTGATAAACATGGTATCCAGCCAGATGCGACGCTATCACATTTCATCAGTGCTTCGTGTAGCTTACCAGACTAACCAGGATCGACCCCACATCTACCGCCCGGCTCTTACCTTAAAAGCTCAGTGTCTTCCCGCGATTCATCAAACTCATTCTCTTCAGCTATGTGCACACTTGGCTATATTCACCCGATCTGTGGTTTCTTCCCTGTTCTTCATCAAAGCCGTTGGTTATTGTCGCATCTGAGGACCTGACACTCGACACTATGCATAACAAGTGGAGTCGACTTAATCATACGTTGCACAGCAAATCTTTTGGCTTACCTGAGGTTGTCCTTCAACAGCTGCCGGATTTCAGTTTACTTCACTTTTATAATCTACAACACAGAAGTGAACGCACGTAGGTGGACCACAAGAGCAGTGTTAGGTTCATCTATGCTATACAGCACAGCACCTGGATGACGGTGACGCGAGTAATTTATGCGGTTGTTATGTATAGCTGGTGTGTAGATGTAGTGCCTTCCGAGCTCTCTCTCAACACCTGGATTTGTGTTCCATTCTGCGGTCACGTTACTTCTACGTCCGATGGTTAGTACGTAAATCAATTGACCGAAATTTAAAACTCTCACGTGGTTGTTCCATTTGCATATTTCACACTGTCACTTGTCAACCATTCTACTAAATTTGGCTTTTCAACTTTCCACTATGCTTGAGCTGTTTTCAACGCAAACTTTCTATAATCCGTTTTCTTGCATGCTTTTCAGTTACTAGACTTTGTCAACATCGAAACCACTTACGATATGGATACGGTACTGGTAGACGATATCAACTTCAGAACAACAGACTCCAAGCAAGGCACGGCCACGTTCAGTCAGAACCCTATGGTAAATTGTTAACATAGTCCGACTTTCTCATGCATTCTCTTCCCATTTCTTGTTGGTTCACGGTTGAGAGCAACTTGTTTTTGGCCGAAGCCACACTGCAACACTAATTGTCAAATTTTTACGGTCGACGAACTTTTCCTGAGGTTTGTTCCATAACCTTCCTAGAAACATCCTCCGCGTTGATGTGCCAGCTTACTGTTGTTTTAACCACTCTGGTTCCGTTCAATCATTTTGTGTGTGTATCTGATATCCGTTCCAACTACACTAACAAATCGAGAGCCTGCGACGGCGTTCGTGACTCTACTTGATTTGAATTAGGCTTAACCCGTACTCCACAAGCAGTACGAAATCGTATTGTTATTTTCGTTAATACACAACTCATCCTTCAGGCGGTCGTGTCATAGCTACTTGCTTCTTGTCCAGTCCGGCCGGTAACTGAGTAGATCAGGTGCCTGCCCTGTTGTAATGCATAGGTCATCGGCTCAGACCTGCGTAGATGGGAACTACCTCGCACCTGACTGGTGGTCATGCGGCAACGAAACGTCATTACGACACACAGGCGTACTTCTGATGCCATAGAACCTTATGCTGAGAAGCTTGCTGACCTCTTTTGCGACAGTGTCTGCGTTTATTCTTTGACTGTCGTCGCTTATTAGCTTGCGTTTCACAATTGTTGGGTGATTCTAAGAGAAACATACGCCATCATCTTATGTCGTCATCGCTGAATGTATTTTCTGCTTTTGCTGCAACTTCCTAACATTTAACCGATCGTCTCCATATTCCTGTGTACTTACCTAACGCATTCACACATTGCTTCTTTTACATCGCAAAGCATACACTGACCGAGGGATTTCGCGCTGAATGAGACCTCGTTGCAAAGCTCGATGCTCCCGGCGGCACTCTTGTTGGCCACCTCATTTGGATTCGCATGAGCTTCAGATTTGCACACCTAGCTTCTCTCTCCCTCGGACTGTTTCACCTTTATTTTGTCGTCAGAGATGCCCTTCCCTCCGTTGCGGATGCGCAGAACTTATTCTACTGTTCCCTTGATCTCGTCCGAACTTATGGCTGTTTAGCATGACACCTTTTAGTTTTTTTCGCCATTTTTGTGGCTTTATTTCGGTTGTTTTGGCACTTCCACGACATTTAGATGGTGTTACCTTGTTACTTCTTCTTTAAACATGGTTGTTGTACTGATACAGTTGATTACCTTCTACGCTTAACCAGCCTGTATACATGGCGTTCGCACTGAATGCCCTAATTGCTTTTCAGTGGGTCGTAGCACCTCGGTTCAAGTTACAATCCTAGTCGAAAACCTTCACATGTTTTCAGCCTTGATCGCAACTTTCTTTAAAATACAAGTCGATGAGCAATCTTGTTGCTAGCCAGCGCCTCTATTGCTCTACAACCGAAAGCACTAATTTCTTATATGCATCACATGATTCGCCACTTGAACGTATTTTTTGGTCAGCACACCCAAGCTTCGCACGGCAGTGAGATGGCACTCTGGCGTCCATCAAACTACACCGTCTACCGTGCAAAGGGGTAAATGTGTTGTGACTCGCCCCTCTTCTCTAGTGAACCGGGGTACTTTCCACTTGGGAAACCGGTGTCGCGGCGTTTCTATCCACATCCCTTTCGTGTATCCCAGACGCTGACTATGTCCGGAACGTGTAGCTACCAGGCTCATCCATACTTTACGGGGTCTATTCAACGAAGATCGATTCAAGAGACTGGGACTGCGCACTGTCATATCGTTGGTTTCAAGTGGACCTCATAACGAGGCACTGGATAGCACATCATATACAATCCAAACTACTTTGACGACCAGCCAAAAACATCCCCAAGTTTTCTCTTATGAGTAATGTCCTTGTGTATGAATCTGTCCACGGCCACCATTTCTTGTCGGTCCCTTGAGTGGTCGCTTTAGACAGGTTTGACTGTACTTTGGCCGCTGCTCCACATGCGCTCACCAAGAAGTACACGCGGGCACTAGTAGAAACTCGTAGTATCTGTTCAGTTCAGTTGAAGTGCGGTGGATCCAGTTGCCATGACTTACACCGTAAAATTAACAATAAATAACGACGGAAAGGTAGTAAGGATGAGTGCAGATAGAATGTAAAGAAAATAAAGTAAAATTGAGGTGCGTTAGACTAATGGAATGAGAATTAACTATCAGATGCAAGAAACCGAATGCAGGAACGCCACTGACTTCGTGACTGCACCATGTCTGATAGGGTCTTCAGCCACTGATGTGGACCATCCCGAGACACTAACTTGACCAAGTCTCTCATTCAGTTTATTCATACCTCTATGCTACGTTATGGACTGGCCACTTCGTGGTTTCGCTCACCTTGGTGCAGCCACGGCGTATAATACACGCTGAGGAAGCCGGTCAACGAGCATACGGAGGACATGGCCTAACCAAAGTAAGCTATTCAAATTGAGCAAATACTCAAGTGAGGCACCAGAAGGCTTCCGGTCAAAAACCAACTGGCAGACCTCAGTATTGCTAATGCGATGTTCCCACCAGGTGTGAGCAATACTCCGCAAGCACCGGTGGTTAAACACGGCCACGCGTTTAATATCTTCGCCGCGAACTGGCCAGGTCTCTGATCCATATTGTAAGACCGGCTTTATCGCAGTGTTATACACCCTACCTTTCCCATGGATGGTTGAGTCTCTGGAAAGTCACACGGGTCTTGCTGATACGCAAAGTGACTACCAGAGATGACATCTCGCAAGGTAAATGAATCGATCCACCACTTCCAGTGACTGTTCGCTGATAGCTAAAACCGTATTTCGGTCCAGTATTGCAACAGTACTTTGCACTCTGAAGTTGCAAAGCACATGCCGAAGCGTGCAGCGTTACACGTCAGTCTATCCAGTGCTGTTTGCACACAGCTACTGCAGCATACCAAGGAGAGCTACGTAATCTGCATACTCCAGGTTTGTCAGTCTGTCACCTGGCATTACTTCCGCTCCAGAATAGTCTGAAAGAGCCGAGTCATTCATGATCATTTCGATCATAAATTTGAAGCAGAAAGGAGCTATAGCACAATTCTGACGAACCCCGCTTGTCGTGGGGAACTCAGACAATTTCCTGTGGACCTTACACGGCCTCGGGAGTTACAACAGAGAGACTGCTTAGTGCAAAGGAATTTAGCTGGTACGCCCTTCATGGATAGGCAGTGCTACATACTGGGCGTGGTCAACAGATTCGAAGGCAGCTATCAAGTCAAGGAAAACCATAGTCCATTGTCTGTGTGGGTGTCTCGACGAGGAGTACAAGTGGTCGATGCAAACACAACCAGGACGTAAGCCAGCTTTCAGTGCTTCCGTCCTCGCTGGGACCAGTAAGTCGTCGGAAAATGATAGATATGATAAATTTGGATGCAATGGAACAAGACTAATGTCTCGATGATTTTCCCACGAAGTACGCTAATCCTCCTTGAAGATGGGCATGACAGTTGATAGTAGCCAGTCTGAAGGCACCTTTTCAATGTCCCAAATAATGCTAAATAGAGAAGCGAGTCCAATCAACAAAGGGTCACCACTATCTTTCGGAAAAAATGGGGTAAGGTCGTCGGGTCCAAGCGCCTTGTTTCGTTGCCATACGGCAGGCTCATGGGGAATCTCTTCTAAAGTGGTAGGTGTGACATCTACTTCCCACATCGACTCAGATGATTCGGCAATCGGTTGTGCTGCGACAGGCCTGCTGAACTGCTCTTCAAAATGTTCCATCCGACAAGCTAGTAGACAACACTTAGAGTGGATCGACTGACCATGTTTCCCAGCTAGTCTCGCTAAGTTAAAGGCTTTCTCGGACCCGAGTTTGCGATGAGCTGGAATAGCACTCGGCTGTTCCCAATAGCAATGGCTTTCACCATCTCAGGAGCCCTTGCAACCCCCCAACGTTCACAGTCGATACGAAAACTCCTTGCCAGACGTCGATACAGGGAATTACAGATACGCTGAAATCCAGTGCCCATCGAAACCAGTTTACGTGCTTCGATTAAATTGATCGATGCCCCGAGATTCATCCAAAGTTGCATCTCAAGTTGGGTGTACAGTACGCGTCAAAGGCATTCTTCATTGCACACTTTAGACGATCCCAGTTAGCGTTCGGCTCACCATTCTAATCTATCACTGACAATTGGTGGGCTAGATCCTTATGATATTGTTGAGCTTCAGAATGTGAGTTCAGGTTACAGCCAAGAAGATTAGAAGATAGGCGCTACTTTGAAGTAGGTAGAGTGAGCGCCAAGCGTACGCGCACATCAGAGCGTGGCCGGAATCCAGGCACGTGCTCCAAATTGACCGACAGTTTTGATTGATGTGCCCCATCTCTGGCTGATGGCAATATGGTCAGTTTGGATCCAGGTCATTGAGGAATTCGGTGGGCGCCAGGTGACGCGGTGTGAACGTTTGTGCTGGAAAGCAGTGCTGCTAAGGTAAAGGTTGTGGTCGGCGCACAGTTGCAGGAATCGATCACCATTGTCTGTTCGGCGTGCATCGACTCCGAAGCGGCCTCCCAGGTGCTGTTCAGAGTCTGAAAGACGACCCACTTGGGCATTCATGTCACCAGCAACAATCACGATGTCAGTATTCTTCGCCATGCGAAGAGATGAGAGCTGTCGATAGAAATCGTCTTTGATACCCTCTGAACTGCATTCAATAGGGGCGTAAACTAAGGCGATGAAAGGGCAACTTGGCTTCTGCCGCTGATTATTAACTCTAGTAGATTTTGAAAGTCGAACCGCACACATGCGGTTATTCACCGGCATCCAGTCGATTGGATTGCTTTCGGCATATTTGCTGAGGGCGATACCAACACCGTAAATACCTTGAGCCATTGACTCAGTATTGCCAGAGGCGCGAAGAGTGCAGTCATCGCCGTCAGATTAAGATCCAGGGAGTCGAAGATTCGTCACGACACTGCTATTTTGTATGCGTGTTTCGGAAACACAGCACACATCAATACCAACAGAGTGAGAGTCAGTGCTGTTTGCTGGCCAATCTGACCCAGAGTACGGACGTTAAAAGAACCGACGTGAAATGAAGCTCTTGGTTTGATTGAAGAGCTAAGTTTATCAATGGCAGCAGTTGCGGAGTCAGCGCCAGTCTTTCATTCACTTGACTGGGAAGAAGAGAGTTGAGAGGGGAAAACGAGAAGAAGAAGAGAGTATTACCGTAGTACTGGACTCTATGCTTCGAGCGTCTTGTGGTGTACTAGTGGGACTGTTTGTTAGAGACAATAGTCAAGGCGAAACCAGCGTCGGAATTCAAAAATTTCCTAGACGTTCTCTGCGGATCTCTAGAGCGCATGGTACCCGAATAATACGTCGCAGAACTCAACTGTGTTGACAGTGCGCGGCAATAAACTACGTTCTTCCGAGTTCGTGCCAGATATCGACGGAGTAAACCAGATGTCTTCTAGATCCCCATTTTTGGTATTCACACGTCACTTGTCACCGGTTTTGTCATAAACTGGGAGTTTCTCGCTGCATACGGCCATCTGTGGCACTCACAAAACCATAACGTGTTACCGTGCATGCTGTTCTCAGAATGCTTCCTCAGTCTGTCCAGATCTATTACGCATTTAGATGAAGCTAAATAAGCAATAAGTATGCAGCGACTTTGCACTGTATTCGATCAGACTTTATTTCAAAAGGTTAACGACAAAATTAGAAAACTTACAGTCAGCGAAAGAAAAATAACAGCTCTGGAAATCACATCTGATACAAACAAGTTTGAGCGAAGATTTCATGAAGTCCTGAGATCACGGGGTTGTGTTGCATTCATTGAGCACCTAGTCACAGCAGGGCGCCGTATAAAACATCTTGGAGTTCGTTACAGATGACCTCCCCCCGTTCACCGGAAATGCAAATGATGAAGTCGACTGAATGATGCTCATTGGTTATCACATCCTAAGTTGTCGTAATCCGGAACAGTTGTCAACATCACTTTGTCGGCCCTAAAATGGAGATCAGTGGTTTTGACTCTCCTGGAAACCAACAGACGTTTTGCTATGAAAGGTATTATAAACTTACAGATGGTTCTCTAATTTAAAACACTTAGTTCCCTTCAATAGTTTGAATAACAGTGAGAAGACGAACGCTGGTAGAATGCGTTCTCTAATTCACTAGCAGTTGTTTTTTGTTGATGTGAATTACAGAAATCAGTCAGCTGCACTCATGAATTTTCCGGGTATTGTGCTGTTTCACAATCCTGTCACGTAACCCCTTAACTTTCTAGGCATTCAGGCACACTGGGGTTCGCTACGTTTTAATTGTGCCCTATCATCGCTCCAGGTAGAATAGCTTGTTCGAGCTTCGTACCACTAATACCATTGATTCTGGTTGAACTCCTTAGGCACTGCGAATGTGATTACAACTATGGGCGAGATCTGATCATGTTATAAATTTTGACTAATGTGCCCGGATTTTCTCTAGACAAGCTTAGAACCAATTGAAGATCCATAGGTTCAGAAAGTTTCGTTGTATGGTAATGTTTCGCTCTTGACTCAAACTCTTGTTCAGTCAGAACCATTTTTATCTTCTTTCGTACGAGACAGTGGTTTAAGTAGAGCGCTACCATTCATCAGCCTTATCACGGGGTGAGAATTTCCCTTTTATCTCTCTTCGAATTATGGCACTGAGTACGTTTCTAACAAAGCAGCCACACAAATCATAAATGGCATTCGCTCTCGGGTGACCAGTTCTGAAACCGGTTGATTTAATCTAGTCTGTGGAAATGTGTTATACTGTTGTAATGAGCTGTCTCAGTAGAGACGTGGTCTACTCTGTGCATCCTAATCAGGTACCCGTTCTCTCTTATCCGGGCTTCATGTTAGCTGCTGAGACGTCAAGATTAAAGATAACTGATTAGCTCTGTCACAACCAGGTCAAGGTTGATTTCTTAACGATTCGTGAGACTGCTAGGTGCTTCTGTTGAACACGATCGTCATGTCGTCCGTCACGGTGTTGCTTCGTATACATAGTTCACAGACTTGTAGAACACCCTGCTTGTCACCATGACTTCTATCTAGTTTACACCAAATGTACCACGACGTACGAGAGCAAAGTTTATACCTTCGGATTAATTGACCATGTTCCACAAAAAGCGCAGTTTCACGGAGGAGGGCAGATGATGCAAAGACTTCGTTAGTGCCTTGCTTAACTAGCTAGGTGACAGGTCCTGGTGCTGGATTAGTTATATGTCCCCCCCCCAGAACGCAGAACACCAAGTATTAGTTCTTACAATGTGATGTACTCGCCCTGCTTGAGTCTGGTAATCATCTGGTGCTGTCGGCTACTTGATACCTCAGTTGACGAAATGCATGGTCTGATGTACCCTGCAAGGCACAAAAATGTTCCATTCGACCGGTAACGTTTTGAATCAGCATTTAGCTATATCACTGAAGTGCACTAAATTATGGATAGATTAAGTGATGTAGAGGCACTGTCATAGACAGCTCTTTGATACTTCCCACCCACTGCTTTAGTGCTCGAATAAGAATTGGACCAGCTGTCCCGGATCCGGTACTAAATGTGAGTGTACGACCAATATGCATTCTCGCATAGGTGCGATTTTTTCTTTAAGTCCCGGTGTTGCTGAACACGGCTGGCTAGGAAAGTACGTGTCATCACGAAACGCTCCCTGCGCGGATGAGAAGTATGCTTTGAAACTCAGTCAGACCCATCCATCTGACTTGTATGATGGATTCCCCATTGTAAGGGCACCGTGCGAGAATCGGTTAATAGGTATTCACCAAGGTAGCTCGCAACAAGCTGTGAGGCATGACTTTAGGTGTATCGTACTGGTATCCCACTGGAACTGAACCACTCCAAGCCTTTCCTATTCATTCAGTTATATACAAGCTGTTGGTGCGTACTAATGCACCTTCCTTCCCGTAGAAGTATTCTATGCTCCTTGTTACAATCGGGGCTTACTTTTCTCCATCACGATGTCCCGAAGAAACCATAGGTTCTGTTGTGTTTTGGCCCCAATGCAAATCCTGATCCGATTGGGTATTGGGAGAAGCGCGTCCGCCTACTTCTGCACGATCCCTCGGTTTACTTGTGCCGGAGTTCAGTAAACAACAGGAAGTTGGCGCAGGTTTTCCCCATCTGTTCGTAACAATGAGGCCTTTTTCGGGATCCTGATACAGCAGGGTCACTGTGTTCGTCGTGCGGTGTACAGAAGTTACCTCTGGGTCTGAGCTACTGCTGGAGTATTCAACTTCTGGGCTGGGGCTTGTCGACCTTTTACAAGCTCGCCTTGTGAGTGTAATGGAGGTAAGGTTTGCTCTGGAATGTGAATGATTTGTGTCGGAGGTTGGACTGCTGTGTTCGGGTGGATTCAGATTCAAAGTCGATCGTGTTAACAGACTGAAAGCATTCTGAAAGTAAAAAAAACAGCAACGCCGTGTAACTTCGAGGTGAACGTAAGAGCTACTGACGATTCAGTCATTCTGCAGGTAGTGGGTAATAAGTGGTAACTACCAATTCATCAGAACGGGTTCGAACTGAATTCCGCCCACTTCCAGTTTGGCCATCCCATCATCTATCTTGATTGTTGTGGAGTGTAATCAATTGGGAACAAAGGATCAAACACATCCGTCCTATAATAGGTGTTATTCATTTCGTGGAGACGCTACGGAGGAGAAGCTAGACGAGTGTGGGGGTGTCTCTGATGGTAGCTACTAGCTCGGGCGAACGAAACCGTAGCGAAACTAGCGAACAGGAAGCCGATGATGAACCAGCCACACTAGCTGACCACGATCGCACGGGCCTATGGACAAGTCGGAGTCAGTTCGGCCTAGCACGTACGAAAGGCAATGCGGTTGCACACAAGGGCGAACCGAATTGATCTGCAGAACAGTGATACGCACTGGCCAGTGAACATAAGCTGAAGACACGATGTACCATGGTGGCCGGTCAAGTGAGCAAGTGGAGACGACGCGGGACGATTAGACATGAGGCGAATAAAATACCGCCCACACAAAATGGCCAGGTTGTGCGAGTCAAATGGAAAACGCGAAGTTAACAAGCTCATTGTGTTCCCGGATTAGGGCGCAGGTCGAACTGGTCAAGCGGATGGACGACGCGTGCGGCCGATGATCATAGGCAGACGACACGGAAGGTGAAAACGAGGGATAGCCCGTGGAAAGCTGTCACATTTTTCGTGTGGTGCTAGTACACAACGCTTCAGATGTAGTGAATTTATCATATGGTTTACTAAGACCAGACTCGGTTTTAACTATCAGAAGGTTACACGACGCACACATTACAGTGAGTCGCAACCGGGGCACTGCTGTTGTCGCAGTTTCTGCGGCAGAAACATTCGCCCCCAACCGGTCAAGCCATTGCTTGACCCACAATGCTGTCCCTGTCAGCGCTTACGCAACTGCACGCAATCGTGACAAACGCGCTAGCCATCGATGCCCAGTGCATACATTGCGGCGTAAATCATCTCACAGCTTCCTGTTCTCCGACAATATGTCGACGCGCGTGACCATGCTATGGCGTTTCGGACAAGCATAGGCGCCAGTGGTAGTAGCCGGCTATTACTTCGCGAGAGCCTCAAAACCATCAACAGGAACGAAAGGGTGACACCTACGAACATCCCACCTACGGATATTAGCTCAAAAATATTATTGAGATAAATAAACATAGAGGAAGCCACACCGGTTAGCTAAACATTACGAAATGTAGATCAATGGTTTGCTAAGTCGGACTAGACGGCATACGCAAATGCACGTGACCAACGCTGGGCAATTAATGCTGGAGCGGGTCTATGCCCGGGGCAACGTCAAAGCTTGTACCAGAGTTCGCTGTTTGCACAGTTCTGGTTTCTAAACTCTGATCGCGATGGCTTTGGCGATGTTTCTTGAGCATTTTTGAGTTACTCGAGGGTTGGTATAGACCATTGTAAAAGACTCATTCATCCAAGTCTCATGACCAGTTTCAGCCAAGTATTGTAGCATGGAACTATTTATGTTATTCACCGTGCCCTTTCGCAGTGACGCAGGACAGTGCTCAGCAATCCGTCTGGAAAAGCATCTGGTGCCCATTCAATATAAACTTTTGTTTTATGGGACCTATTACAGACAGATCGCAATGGGTTCTCCCCTAGGCCCACTCTTGGCAAACCTTTTCCTTGAAAAACTCGAACGAACGCACTTGGGTAGCAGTATCGCTTCACTGCAGTCTTACTACCGTTATATAGATGACACGTTCATTGTCTGTGACTCTTTCATGGATTGCACCAGCCTACTAGACCAGTATAACCGGGTACATCCTTCACTGAAATTTACCACCGAAGTCGAACAAGATGGCTACCTAGCCTTCTTAGACGTTCATTATTGAGACTTCAACGCTTAGTGGTCGAAGTAAATGTAGAAATTCACACCCGGCTCCGGTAGGAAAAGAACGAGTTGCGTGCAGCAGTGGTACGATTTGAGAAATATCTGCGCTTTTGCAGATAAAGGAGAAGAAACAAAACTGACCTACCTTTCTATATGGTCACGCATGAAAGCGATTTTATAGCTTCCCCGAATGCTGAATCCCGTAACATTGAACAGGAACCATTGAAATTATGCTCTCTGATAGAGGTCTCTGAATGCGTCATATATTGACCTTAATGTATCCATGATAAAAGATGATTCTCTCTACAACCATCCAAAAGACCTGGCCTCGATGGACTATCTTCAGTTTTAATCAAGTGCAGCGATGAAGATTTTCCCCTCTGATTATTAAAAATATAGTCTTTGCTCTTTCCGTCCGGTCAATAACCTGAATATGAAAAATAGTTTACGGTCATACCACGACATAACTCTGGGTCAAAAAGGGACAACCGAAACTACTAACAGATTGGCCACGCTACAACTTTTTCACAGATGTTTGGGCGAATGGTTAGGGAATCTTTAGACTCCTTCCAATTGTCACGCCACCTTCCCTCGCCTATACAATATACATTCCTACATTCCCGCTCGTGTGTGCTTTGCCAAGTCGATTCCCTGAACCATCTATTTGATACGCTTGATTCTGGCTTTCAGTGCACTTTCATCTTCTTGGCATGCAAAAAGCGCATGACAGAGTTTCACACGAAAAGCTGCTTTATAAATTTACAAGGTACGTAACAACAAACCCACTTCTGTCTTGGCCCTAGTAATAACTAGTTGAACGATTGCAGGCTGCTAATATGAATGGTGGCATCACTAAACCCCGTAACGTCACCAGTCAATTGGTGCAGGGCAGCGTTTTGGGCCCTTTAGTCTTCTTATTGTACACATTTGACCTCAAATCTGTTTTTCGGTTTGGCACTTGTATCTGCCGTCTGAAAAAGACCGAACCATGTATCATAAAGGGAATAACGTTTACAAACGCGTTACAATTGTTGAAAACACCCAACACCCAAGAATATTGAGTCAACCTGAGAACAGAAACATAACATTCATTTATCATCTTCGCTTACCATTTTACATCTCAGTTCCACTGCTGACGCAATTCTGATGGCTGACTACGCGTCACATTCCAGTCAAACTGTCTGGTGCAGGTTTAGTCTGAGTCTGGAGACCGATGCATCGCACAAATGTCTCATTTTCTCTACGTATTCCTTACCTCTGTTTCTTGTGTTTGACTTCTTCTCACCTGGTATCCGTACATGCCACCTTCATGAATAACTGACTAGGCAAAATTAGTCTGGTGTCACATTATTTTACAGCTTTTTCAATTTTGTTGCCAAAGGCGTTCTACTTGTTGTGGAGCCCGCATAGTTCTGCAAAACTTGCGTAGTTCACCTGAGCTCACTTCAGCAATACTATCACCATGTGGTGACTCAGAATGCCTAGGTAACAACCGAGCGCTCCTCAGAACCCTGCTGTATTCAGCGCCTCGAATCTGTCAGCCAACTGAGCTCCCCTCAGAACACTGCGGTAGCTCGGTATTATCAAGCGATCCAACAACCCATGGGCGTCACCTGTTCACATGGTCCCGAAGAAGGTCATAGGGGACTGGCTACCTTGTGGACTTGTACACCCTACCACGAGCGATCGCTATCCGATCCCACACTTCGTGGATTTCACAGCCTGTCTGGTAGGTAAGACAGTAAGAGCGAACTGGTTCGCGCATACAAACATATTTCGGCAGCAAAAGCGGACATTGTTAAAACTACTGTGATGATCCTGTCTGCTTTGTTTAAGTTTATACGCACGCCATCTGGTCTTAAGAATGCAACAAACTTTCCAGCGTTTCGTCGACTAAGGTTGCCGTGCCTTGGGCTTAGCTTATGCATATCTCGATGACATCCTGTCAATAAAAAAGGAAAAACTCTAAATAATTACTTTAATATTATGCATACGCATAAAAACGTACGCCACATCCTTTGACACATCCAATATCGCAAGAACTATAGCGAATTTGTGAAAACGTCTTTCAGTTTGAAATAAGTGCCACTGAGATACTACATATACACTGAAATATCCTCGGAACCGAGAGAATTTTTCAACCAGCGTAACGTATTCATAGACGACTGTTTTTCCGCTCACTGGTCCCTAGACATGAATCTTGGTAAATTGCATTATATGGGTTCGCAATGCGTTGTGCATTAGAGTGCGAGCATTGGATACTTTTCATAAATTTCAGCCTTTATTTAGTCAATAGGAATCTTCTCACTACGTTATTATTCTACCGGAGTCTATTCCAATGTACGAGGGGTGTACAAAAAGAAATGGAACTTTTGAAATACCGTGGCACCAGGCAGAGACAGCGCGCTGCGGCTACTGAGCGCAGGTGGAGGCTTGCTTAGACAGCAAACTGACATTTGCCGCTTTTCGTTCTGACGGTTGATTTGTAATCTATAGTCGTTGTATTGAGCACGTGCACAATCTGTTCGTCGGATTAGTGCCAAAGTGACGATGAAAGAGCTTAAAGAACAACACGTGTGTGAAATTTTGATATAAACTTAGCAAAACGTTTACAGAGACATTTCGATTGCTTAGCCAAGCATACAAGGAGGACTGTATGGGTTCCACGCAGTGCTATGAGTGGTTTAAGTGTTTGGAACACGGCAGAATGTCGGTCGGTGACGATCCAAAGCCTGGACGACCTTACGCATCGACAGACGATGACAATGTCGAGAGAGTTCGTGTTGTGATCCGTGGAAATCGCCATTTAACTGTTTGAGAAGCTGCTGACGAAGTAGGCATCAGGGTAGGATCATGCCATCAAATTCTAGCGTGTTTGAGGGATGTTGTGCGCAGGAAGAGGCCTGAACTGTGGGAAACCAGACTTGGATGTTGCATTATGACATAAGCCGCCTCGCGCACCGCTCCTTGTCCCTAGCAAAACATCACACTCCCGTTGTGTCACATCCACCATATTTTCCGGACAGTGCCCC